CTGTGGAGTCTAAAAAAAAAAAAAAGACAAACAAACTTAATAAGCAGGACCAAAAAAAAATCGACAAGTCAAGTTATAAGATTTGTGCAACCTCATTTTAGCCATGAATACTTTAAACATAAAGTATACTTTCTGGAATCATAGTAAAATGTGCTCTTTTCTGTGACTGCCCTGAAAATGTAAGATCGTGGTGTACTTGTAAACAGTGATGGTGAATGTAAACCATTCATGATTTCAACTGAATAGGACATTGTGTTATGAAAATAAAGCTGGGGAAAAAAAGAGGCACTTAATTTAAAACTAGAGGAAATGCTCCCACACTTGCCCCTCCTGTGGTCCCTGGGAGGAAATATAGGAGTGAAGCAAGTTTTACTTAAATTTAGTCTTTCTTGGTATTTTACATGAACATTTGAATATATAATAGTGTGAAAATACAAACCAAAAAAAGGAAAATAAAATAGCATTCGTGTTTTAATATGCGTTCCTGAATTTAAATTTCAATACGTGAATTCAAATGGTCTATTTTCCCACTAAAATCTTGATGTTATAATAAATGAATAAACAGAAGGCCACAGCTTGAATATTTTCACAGAGTTGTGATACGCTCGTAACAGAAAGCTAGTAGGGGCAAGCAAAGCACCCTTCTAAGTCATCTTTAGTCTTTAGTCTTCAGGGGTTTGAAGTTGCCTTCTGATCCCTCAGGGAATAAACGCTCTCTCATCAGAACCCCTGGTCAATTCCTTTAGTTAATTTCTACCTCGATTATATGACTGTAAGTTCATGTGACGTGTAAGATCATTAACCATGAACCAATGCCAGAGGCTGAAAGTACAGCTTAAAACTCAGCAACCATGCAAGCATTATAAAGCTACTTGAGCACACTTGGTCATGCAGCAGGCAGCTCTTCTTGAATAAAAGCGTCATTTGATGACAGACACCCATGACTATCCTTTCCTTACACGTTTATAGAGACACATGCAAAATGGAACTGGAAAATGTGCCCTATCACGCCATAGTTATTGGGAACTTCTCTTCTCGTTTCATGTCTGACTGCAAGGTCCAAGGAATTGGAAGAACAAAATCTCTGTTAATTTTAATACATTAATAAAAGCTCTTCTTAATCAAGAGCTTTTCTTCTTCTGGAAGAAGTTGGGACGTTGTCATCGGCATCACTGGAAGAAACCTGCACTAACTGGTAAGAAAATTATCCAACCGATTTGTTTCCAGGACCAAAATGATCAGAGAATGACGATGCTACTTGTTCTCTGAATGCCTAGACAACACCACGGTCACTTGGTTTAAATGAGGGCTAGTGTCATTAAGAGGCTCATTTCATGGCCACGGACCGGCCACTGCTGATGTGGCGGTTTGAGGGAATTGTGTAAGTGGGCTACCACACAAGGCACAGATCTGTCGTAAATAGGTCAGGAAGTGTGACTCTTGGTGTCTTATATTTCTATTATGAATATTTCTGCCTAAAATCAACTAAAAACTTAGCACCACAGTGTGACACTAATTCATGCTTCTCCCACATTCTGCCTGCAATATATTCTGTATCATCTTTAATTACATTTGACAAACCCACACATTATTTTCTTTATGTCTTATTTTGTTACATTTTTACCATTTTTATTTTATTTTTCTCTAGGTCTAAAGCCATGTTTGACAAATAACTTCTGGAGTAGGAAAAAAAAAAAGAAATGTTTTCCTTTTTACCCCTGTACCTGTAAAGTCTGTTAGCTGCTTTACACACAAATTTGTCTCAAAGGGCGTAACACCCGTCTGTAAGATTCCTAAAGCACGAAATATGGTAAAACTCTTTTCTGTTCTGTGGGCGACCAGAAGACAGCATTTGATTTCATTTTCAGCCTCTCCTAAACTCTCCTTAATATCAATCATATTTCTGTCTGCTCTCTGTTAATTTTATAAGAAGGGAAGCCTGTATGATGCATTTTTCCAGTTACTCTGATGAATTATGCCTCATTCAGGAATAAACTATATTAAGAGTTAAGTAAAGGTGATGGCTACCGTATCTGAACAAACTAATTACCAGCGTAATCTTTACTTTTAACAGATACGAGTCAGCATGGCTGAGAAAGTAACAAATGTGACCAGCATAACGGAATTTTTGCTCATGGGACTCCCTGACGACCAGGTGCTACAAACACTGTATGTTACATTCTTCTCCCTGATTTACCTGGCAGCACTGATGGGCAACCTCCTTACTGTCACCCTCACCTCCACTGACCAGCATCTCCAGTCCCCCATGTATTTCTTCCTAAAGAATTTGGCTTTGAATGATATCTGCTATATCTCCGTCATTGTGCCCAAATCCATCGTAAACTCTCTGACCAAAAGCCATTCCATCTCTTTCCTGGGATGTGCCTCCCAAATTTTTCTTTTTCTTTTTTTTGCTGGCACAGAGTACGCCCTCCTCATAGTCATGTCCTATGACCGCTATGTTGCCATCTGCCAGCCTCTGTACTATGAGGCCATCATGAATAGAGGCACCTGTTGGCAGATGGTGACGGCGGCATGGTCCAGTGGGTGTGTCTATGGATCCATTCACGTGGCAGGTACGTTCTCTGTCCGCTTCTGTGGGCCCTACGTAGTGCATCACTTCTATTGTGATGTCCCGTCGCTGCTCACACTTGCTTGCCCTGGAGAGCACACGCTGGAATATGCATTTGTGATTGCTAGCTGTACTTTGGCCTCTGTCTGCTTCCTTTTTCTGATTGCCTTTTACACCTGTATTTTCTCAGCTGCCCTGAGAATTCCAGCAGCACAAGGCAGGTTCAAAACTTTCTCTACCTGCGTGCCACACCTCACTGTGGTGACCTTGTTTCTCTTTTCTGGTATTGTCACTTACTTGGGGACCGGCTATAAATCGGCATCATCACTAAATCTTTTCATGTCTGTGTTATACACTATGGTACTGCCCAGCCTGAACCCTCTCATCTATAGTCTGAGGAACAAGGCTGTGAAGGCAGCCCTGGGCAAAATACTGCTGTTAAAATGTTACCAAAAACATAAATACCCTGCTGTCCTTAATCCACCTGGCAGGCACACTAAATAAAGCAAGTGGAACCATTTCTTGAGATTTCAATCTATTAACATTTTATTATGTTCTCTATTTCTCCAGCAACAGCTACACCAGATTTATGTATCTGCAGCTTCATATCCAATAATACATGCTTCTCGTATAAACTTGAGGTTGGTTTTAAGAAACACAAAATGTATTGAATGCCTTCCATCATTAATTTCACATCACAAGATTCCGTTCAAGTTCTTCTAATGGCTTCACTTCTTTTGTCAG